TTGTTGAATCCAACATGCTCCGAAATGCAGTCCTCCTTTTTCGAAAGAATATCATCTCAAAACATTCTTATAAAAAAAGTTGAAAATGTCTCCTGCTCCTAAAGTGTAAAGAAGGTTTTAAACAGAGGACTTCGAAAGTGAAATTTCTTCTTCTTACAACTCATTTGCGATTCTGTGGGATTGCTTAGTGAAGGCCTGCTTGGACGATTCAAGTTTTGTACAGAGGCCGCGACGTCTCGATAGCACACCTGAGGTCTTTCACAAAATTCTTTGGTTGTCACCAGCGTATGATCTGCTTTGCAATAAGTTCCTAGATATTTCTTATAGGATTTAGATCCGAAATGCATGCAGCCCAATCATCATTGATTCCGCTGACGCATAAGCATTGTTTAGCGGATCAGCTGCTGTGTATGGCGGCGTTGACGAGTATGAAGATGGTATTCTACTAACGGTCTCATCTTAAAAGCGACAGTAGATGATCAGCAAAAACACCCTCCTCGTCGCTTCGAGTCTACTCTCCACGATACACGAGCTAGGGAGAGTACAGCACTGTTGCACAAGTAGGCCGGAGCATCTGAGATCCGCCGCCGAAATTCCCCTGGATGGGACCAGTGGATCTTTCCTCAGGTCCCTCCATCAGCTCCATCCGGCACGCCTTAATAAAACTTATTCTTATTAGGAGAAGATAACCCAACCTCAAAAGACCCCTAACCAGTCGCGATAATGAAGGTGCCTTTCTAACTTGTAGAACCACTTGCTGAATCCCAGTCCGTTCTCATGTTCCTCCCGTCTAATTCGAGTGGAGCTATTTCGTAATGCTTACCCAGTCAATGGGAATCCATCATGAATTTTGGCATAAGACTTGTAGTTCAGTTGGAGTTCTCCGTGGTAATTCTGATGCGGGAAGCAAAAGCTCATGGCTCTGGTTGACTGGCGTGGTAGAACTGGAAGGCGTTCGCTGGATATGGCGTACTTGGAGGCTCCAATAGATGCCGGTTTTTTCCCATGAAAGTTGGATTTCTCATAAAATTGTCAATAAGCCAACAGATTGACCACGCTCGGCTGTGGATCATTTGACCACAGGTAGAAAGCATGTTCAATCTTCGATAAGTGTGATGTGTTTCTACAAACAAGGGAGGTCGTTCAGGGTGTGCCAAGCTTTTTCAAAACGGTTTTTGCATGATATAGGGGCACATGGGAACCACAGAACCATGGTTCATTTTTCCTGAACGGCCCTCTGAATACCAGAAAAGGGGGTCCCTAGTTCGATTCCTCGTGGTGACAAATTTTTGCATTTCGAGTTGACGTTTCAAAATTCGCAAAATGGAGTTAGCATGAATAATTAGTACCATATTCATGATTAGGACCGTCAGTAACCCTTACAAATAGACTTTGATTAAAAACTGGTGGAAAAGGTGTGACATCAGTGGGCCGTTTTGGTGTCACACTTTTTCACCAGTTTTTTAATCAAAGTCTATTTGTAAGGGTTACTGACGGTCCTAATCATGAATATGGTACTAATTATTCATGCTAACTCCATTTTGCGCGAATTTTGAAACGTCAACTCGAAATGCAAAAATTTGTCACCACGAGGAATCGAACTAGTTCTTTTGTAGCAGAGGCGCTGTCAGGAAAAACGGACATGTTTCTGGGGTGCCCCATGCGCCCAAAGCACGTAGAAACCATTTAAAAAAAAAAAAGTTTGGCAACCTGAACGATACTTTCTTGGAAGCATGCGTCAGAGATCGAAATAGACTGGAAGATGATGGAAATGACGCCAAACTCCCCTTGCCAGGAGCCTTGTGGCTATGAGGAGGGGCGTTGTGAGTTTTCCGTGTGTGTGTGTGTTTTTAGTTTAATTGCTCTCTGAAATGAAGTGGAATGTGGATTCAGATGTGCATGCTGAATTTGACAAAATGGGTGATAAGCCAATTAATCCTGTACAGCTACATTCAGTGGTGCCTTTATACTTTTGAAACGCACAATAGGGAGGTTTATGTGGAGCTGGGCAAAACTATTCGAAATTTATAGTTTATGCCGAAAAAGTTTTACAGTTTCTTGCATTAATTTTTTTTGAGAAGAATGAGTCTTCAAAATTACTGAAACAAACGTCGATACAATTCATTCAGAGTGGACAATTCACTGAGGACATGATTCCCACCGTTGGATTCAACATGAGGAAAATAACGAAGGGAAATGTTACAATAAAGGTTAGTTTGTGCTGGAATTTCCTCAAAGTTGCATCTCTTTTCTGCGATATCATGTGTTTGGGAGACTTCGCACTGGGTAGGGATGTGTCATCATATTGGTTTTGTGACCAGATGTCCACCAAAATTTCCTACCAACTTAATAATATGCCATTGCGGCATGTTATTAAGTTGGTAGGAAATTGTTCTAATAAACAACAGGGCTGTAGATCAGAAGTGTACACCATTCCTGCGTAACCTGTCGCTAAGGCTAGGACATTCCGTCTTCCCTCAAGTGCTGAATTGTCAAGAGGGCGTCCTGTGCCTCCCTAACCTCGCACTTCATTCCAAACTTCTTCACGTGTGAAAAAGCAAAAGATCTTAGAAGAGACGGAAATTGGTTAGGGCTGGGCCAGGGCTGTAAAAAGTCTAAGGGAACAGCAGCCAGCCACAGTCTTTCAGCTCCTGGGTTGCCTTATCGTATAGGGTTGTTGTGGAGGTTGACCAGCCCATGGCTTTGATCGGGACTGGCTAATATAAGATCAACTTCTATCAAAATATTCTCGCTGCGTGCGTGCGATTTTCTCCTCTTCGGTCATCTCAGCGCTTCCTAAACGAAAAAAAATTGAGAAGAAGAATGGTTTCAAAGAGGTACTTGGCGAATATTCCAAGCCTATGCTCTTGTCCTTTTGAATCAGGGAACTGAGAAGGTGCCCTAATGTTTTTAGACCTTTGTTGCTGCCGGTACAGCATATCTCTGACCTCCAGGCTGAATTGTTTTCAAAATGCAGTATTTACAAGGAATGTGTGGGAAATCTTGCGGCCTATGTTTTTGGACACATGCTTAGTTTCTCAAAAGATTAAGTTGGACAGTTTTAGAGCTTCTTGATAGCGTTCTAAAGCGTAAGAGCGTTTACAGATCCAGCCGCGGGCGCAGACACGAAGCTGATGGAGCCCTTGCTAAGAAGGCCTGTCCATTGGCCAGAGGCAATGGTGATACACGTTATCGATAGCTTTGCAAAAAGCGCTTCAGACGAATGTCAGACTCGGCGACTGTGCAATCGTGGCAGTGACGTGGTTGCACTTTCGCGCTTGCAAAATGCAACCGCGACAGCGAAATCGTGATTGCACAGTGACTGCAAAATCACTCAGTTGTTATTGCAAAAATACAACCGCGATTAGCGATATCTCCGCCCACTATCGATATAAGCGGTTGTACTTCTGCAATAGCGAGCGAGCGAATTGTGCACTCGGGAGCTAGAACAGAAAGCGACTTCCTGCTTTTCGCAGCGCAAAAATTATTCCGCTGCGGGAGACCCAGGCTCACCGCTGATCAT